CGACTACGCGCTATGACTTTAGGTTTCGAGAAAAAGTTTCAAAGTAAGACAGTTTATTTTCTTGCGGAATTTATATTCATATTCCTGTACATATGTATAAGAAGAAATGTTAGGCACTCAAATACTTAAGTGCTTTGTACGTACATAATTGGTACTTCTATTAATTTACAACCAACAATTTCTTACAGTTATCGGTTCACCTAATGCGACAAACTAAATGCATTTATATATTTATACATGTAGCTACATACATATGCCTACATAATTATGCATGTGATCTTTATGTACATATAGAAGTGGATATACAATATATGTACTTAACAAAACAATAGGCTAGCTGGAGTTGACTGCGGCGAATGAGGTGCGAAGATAAATGAGGAAAGAGTCGATCGCGCAGACACCATTAACCTTTGAATGGTCAGCAATGCTTAACCCTTAACATCCTCCCCCGTTGAAGGACTCTGGCCTTCAACATTTTCCATAGGCAGAAGTGCAATTTTATTAACGGCTCGTTGTATTACGCCATTTTCTGTCCGCATAAGCGCCACTCTGGCCACCTTGTCTCTGCCAAGAATAACCTCTTCTACACGACCAAGTTGCCATTTTAATGGTGGAAGGTTCTCGTCCTTTAACAAAACCATTGCTCCTTCTCGAATGTTCGGGACCTTTGCTTTCCACTTGTTTCTTTCTTGTAGTATAGTTAGGTAATTCGTGCTCCATTTCTTCCAAAACATCTGCTGCATGAAAGACAAACGCTGCCAACGATCTAATCGACTGGTCTCAATATCTGTAACGTTTGGCTCTGGAAAGCTGCTAAATGGCGCTCCGATCAAGAAGTGAGCCGGCGTTAAAACCTCCAAGTCATCAGGATTCTCTGAAATTGCATAAAGGGGTCGAGAGTTGATTATAGCACATACCTGGCATACAAGAGTACGCAGCTCTTCGAATGTAAGCACTGAGAGACAACCACGCGATAGAAGTGAAATTTAGCCGCCTTTACCGCTGCTTCCCACAGGCCGCCAAAGTGGGGAGATCGTGGTGGGATAAAGCGCCATTCGATGCCATCGTCCAGGCAGTGCCCCTGAACAGCTTGGAGATGGGACGTGGACAAGAAAAGATTTTTTAACTCTGTCAATTCATTCCGCGCTCCAACAAAATTTGTGGCATTATCTGACCAGATTGTTTTTGGTCTTCCACGCGTTGAAATAAATCGCTTGAGAGCCGCCAAAAACGAAGCGGTAGATAAATCACACACCAACTCCAAATGCGTTGCCTTTGCAGCAAAACAAATAAAGATGCAAATATAGCACTTGACTGGACCCTTGTTGCGTACCTCGGACTTATAGTAAAAAGGACCACAAAAATCAACGCCGGTTATAAAGAATGGCCTGCATGGCTGCACTCTGTGTTGTGGCAAATCACCCATAATGTGTTCCATAACTTTTGGCTTCAGGCGAAAGCACCTTAAGCATTTGTTGATTACACCGGCTACGGTCTTTCGCCCACCAATCGGCCAAAATTGTAATCGAATTGAGGCTGTTAAGCTTTGCGGTCCAGCATGCATAAATTTTTGATGAAAATGTTGAATGATTGCGATGGTAATAGGGTGTCGTTTTGGCAAAATTATTGGGTGGCGTGCTTCATAATCCAGCATTGAGTTTTCAAGGCGACCACCAACCCTTATAAGCCCGAAATCATCAAGAAACGGATTGAGTGAGTATACTGCGCTGGATGATTCAATTCTTCTTTTGGCCCTTAAAGTTTTGTACTCGGGAGCGAAGTGAATCTGCTGGATCAGGCGTAATAAAAGCTGTGTTCCAAGTTTGATGTCTTCAGGTGTAAGTGCGCCATACGTCTTCGGTGTTGTAGGATCTTTTCTTACCATGAACCTGGAAACGTATGCAAAAACTCGTTGCATGGTGCTGAATGAGTTTAGATACTTGCAGCGAAGTGAAATATCTTCAAGGTGGATTGTTGCGGCCAGAGTAGTGCGCCGCCGTTCTGGCATGTCGATGAGAAAATCAGGTGCTGGTGGCCAATCATTCTGATCTCCAAGTAAGAAGGATGGACCGTGCATCCAAAGCTGGGAATTGAGAAGCTCACTTGGGGATGCTCCCCGTGACAAGATGTCAGCTGGGTTGAGCGCAGTTGGAATGTGGTGCCATAGCATTCCCTTAGTTAGCGTCTGTATATGGCTGACCCTGTTTGAAACGAAGATATTGAAGTTTGAAGACTCCTCCCGTAGCCACGATAACACGACGGTTGAGTCCGACCAACAGTGTATGCTGCAATCAAATATTTGTGTCTGCCTGACCGAGTCCAATAACTCAGCGAGTAGCAAGGCTGCGCATAACTCGAGCTTTGGTATGGTGAGAGTCTTTAATGGCGCTACTCTTGATTTCGAACATAATAGGCTGGTTCTGACTTCATCGATGTATTGCGCTCGAACATATACACATGCACCGTACGCAGCTAGGCTAGCATCATAGAATGCGTGAAGTTCTAAGTGAGAGTTTGGCATTAGTACATATCGAGGGAAATGAAAATTGGATACTAATTCAAGTTCACCGCAGAAATCGGTCCAACTCTTGTGCAAATGCTGTGGCAAACTTTCGTCCCAGTGAACTCGTTCTTTCCACATGCTTAGTATGAATATTTTTGCTTGAGTTAAAACTGGAGCTATGAGTCCTAGTGGGTCGTAAAACCGGGCTATTGTTGATAATGCGACGCGTTTAGTTACCTGTCTGTGATTTCTTATAGGTGCAAGTGAAAAAATGAAGTCATCTGATTTTGGGTCCCATACTAGTCCAAGCGCCTTTGTAATGTGCGTGCCATCGCGGAACTGCAGCAGCGGCTCACGGTCAAACTCAGCAACTCCACTGAGAGATGCAGAAACGTTTGAGCACCACTTTCGAAGAACGAAATTTCCCCTGCGAAGTAGCTGTGTTGTTTGGCGACGAATTTCAATCACTTGTTCCAGGGTGTCTGCACCAGTGATGAGGTCGTCGACGTAAAAATCTCGGCGGACGATCTGTGCTCCAAGCGGGAAGTTTGCTTCTTCGTCTGTTGCCAGCTGATGCATAGCACGAATTGCCAAAAACGCGGCGGGCCTGGTACCATACGTAACAGTGTCAAGTGTGTATGCCTTTAATTCAGCTTTGGGGTCGCCTCGCCATAGGATGCATTGCAAGTAATTATCCGGATGCAAAATGCGTACGCAGCAGTACATCTTGCAGACATCTCCCGTTAAGGCTACCTTGAACATACGAAAACGCAAAAGTGTGTTGAAGAGTTTAGGCTGAATGGTTGGACCAACCATGAGGATATCATTTAACGAATATCCACTGGCTGATTTTGCGGAGCCATCGAACACGACTCGCAATTTCGTTGTTGTGCTGTCAGCCTTATGAACGCAATGATGCGGCAAAAAGAAATTTTTAATTTGTGGTTCCAACCTTACAGGTGCCATGTGTTTCAGCTCAGCATATTCATCCATGAATGATGAGTACTGAGCTTTAATGCCGGGCTTCTGCTGCAGCTTTCTTTCTAAACTTAAAAACCGTTGCTTGGCTTGTGTATATGAATCGCCAAGATTAGTAGCGTTTTGATTTAACGGTAGTCGTACAGCATACTCACCAGAATCAAGCCGAATATAATTTTGTTGAAAGTGAAGTTCACAATTAATTTCTTCCTGCGATTGAGTGGGCAGAACTGAGCAGCTCTCGACTTCCCAGAATTGCTTGACAAGGTCATCGAGACTAGCTTCCTTTTCTTCTGCATGAAAACGAACTGCAACTAAAGCCGATGATTTGTGGAAATGTAGTCCTCCACCAGAAGCGACCCATCCTAATCTGGTCTTCTGTAAGATTGGAAGGTTCTTGGCTAACTTAATTTGGCCAACGCACATTAACTCGAAGAATATTGATGCTCCCAGCAAGACATCAATTCGTTGCGATTTATAGAAAAGCGGATCTGCGAGTTTGGCATTCGGCGGAATGTTCCACGAATCGATGTTTAGGTCGAAGTTCGGCTGGTGATCGGTGATGGTGTTGGCAACGATAGCTTCAAAGGGGAAAGTGTAGTCATCACTACGTGCCCTTGCGAAAATGTCAACTGCCCTGTCAGCGACGAAATTGGATGCACCAATACCAGATATGGAAGTGCTTATCTTTTTCGTTTCTAATTTTAATTGATTTACCAGGCGCCATGTAACAAAGTTTACCTGAGAGGCGGAGTCGAGCAGTGCGCGACAGGGAACGTAACACCCTGTACGATTTTTGATATGTATAATTGCTGTTGCCAGCAAGACGAAGTTTTCTGATGATGCAGCTGTGGCTACTTGCTGCACTCTCATCGAAGACGTTGGTGCCGTTCCAGCGCCTGTGTTGTCGGCCGAACGAAGCGATGCAGGTTGCTCACCTTTATGCATGTGTAGCAATGAATGATGTTTTGATGTGCATTGCCGACAATGTCCTGATTTGCATTTGTTTAATGTGTGGCCCTGGCGAAGACAGTTGAGACACAACTGTAGGCGCTTGGCTTCCTTATAACGCGAAGCGGGTGATAAGTCTCCAAATTGAGAACAACCATAAATCCAGTGACTAGTGGAGCCACAAAACGAACATAAGCTTGAAGATGTTACAAGTGCCTTTCGAGAACTGCTGTTACCGTGAGGTGAACGTTTGCCTGCCACGGAAGTGCTGCTTGCTGCTGGTACTGTGGCCTCCACATTTTCTAGCATGCGACACCTCTTCTCCAGGAACGTTGCCATAGATGTCCAAGTTGGAAGCGAATTTATTGGCAGATCTTCTTCCCATTTGATTTGCGATTTTGTATCGAGCTTTTGAGAGATCAGGTATATGAGAAATCCATCAGCAATCTGCTCCCCCGTTGCCATCGTTTGTAAAGAGCGCAGATGTGCGTTTAGCTTGTCGCTGAACGAGCGCAGACCAGAAGCGCAGCCGCTCTCCACCTTTTTGAGTGCGAAAATTTCTTTTATATGCGCTTGAAAGTTGAGTAGCCGGTTGCCAAACCGTTTCTTCAAGAGGTCCAATGCCTTGTCGTAGTTGGTATCACTTGGCTCCAAGGAACGAACTGTATCCAAGGCAGCGCCTCTCAAATTTGCCCGCAAATGTTGAAACTTTTCAATTTTGCTTAACTCAGCGCAATTGTTAATAACCGAGTTAAACATTGCGATGAAGTCTGGCCACTCTGTATATTCACCGCTGAAGTGTGGAATTTGCAATTCAGGAAGTCGGTTGCGTTGAGAAATAATAAACGATGGAGATGCATCATCGATTACGAATGGACGAGCTGTTGATGAGTGCGCAACGTCGACCCTGCGATGATTAAGTTCACGTGTGAGCTTGCCTTTAACCTCCATGTGTAACCTAGCGAACGACCAACTGACTTCACTGGCCAATTCGCTATGATCCTCAGCTTCAAGGCAGGATTGAGCTTCGTCAAAACTCGTGCGAAGGCGCTCAACCAATTCCAAATACATAGCAATGTCCACCTCATCCAAGCTTCTTAGAGAGTCCGGAGACAACTGCTGGTTAATGTCATCTAGCTGCTTCTTTAATGATAGAGTCCTCTTTTTATAAAGAGATATCACCTTAACTGCGTCATCACCAGTAGCACCTTCAGCTCCGGGAAGCATGTTGATTTGCCGTTGATTAGGTGTGCCGATAACCGAGAACTTATAAAGTTTTATTTGCGAAATGGAAGAAGTATTCCAATTAGTGCAAACGCGACGATTTGATACGTGACGATATCACGTCGGGGTCACCAAATGTTTTGAGCTGGCAAGCGTTTTTGCCAACTAATGCAAAAATAAAAC